TTGCAGACCAACTCAAATAGAATTCTGTGAAAATTTTCTCAGGTTTCGATGCAAAAAAATAAAGTCGAAAAAATATTGGTCCTGCAAAAAGAGTTTATATCTGAAATGAGAAATAGTAAGCTACGCATTCGATGGACCTACTGTTCAAAGCTTATATAAGCAGAAGTTTCGATCAGAGGAACCTGCTTCCTGTAGGAAAGGCAGTAACGAGAGTACCATCAACACAGAGAGAATCGAATAGAAACGAGGATCGAGTAATCGGTGGTAGTAGAGTTTGAGCTATGAGAGAGAGTGTGTTCTCGGTGCGCGGCGTAAGTGAAAGCGAGAGAAGAAAGATTATAAAACACTGTATAAAATTAAATATAAGAAGAAAGGATGTAATAAAGTTATAATTTGTAAATGAATTCGTCGAATGAAATGAATGCAAGAATATTCTTGAGCAGAATGGGGGCGGAAAGTTTCGTCAAGAAAGCTATTCCACAGCAGCAATTCAGTTTTAGTAGACAGCACGGGACCCCCGAACAAGTTCACAGAGTGGCTCAACACATCCTCAACGCTTATGAAACCAAAAAATATTTTCACAATCAAGGACGCTATTTCAGACATAAAAACGAGGGGGAACGGTGTGAGTTGCTGCGGCGACCGCAACTCTCCATTTATACCCAATCCATTGTCAGTATGGCTCTCCTCCGGCAGACGGCGCTAATATTAAACGACACGACAAAGAGTGCGTGCGAGAGAGACAGAAAATCAGTCTGAGCGTGTCGAGGGGGCTCTGTATACCCACTGCAAATAGATTTGTTCCTTTTGGTTATAAAAATGATCCGATCTGATTCAGATTCAGCAATCTAATAGATATAGTCATTCTCTATGATTGTGCGTTTTAGTTTTCTCGTATCTTCAATATTGTGGATCCCACAGATTTTCGTTCTTTAAGGGGGCGGAAGGAGCTGGGGCGAAATTTTGAAATATACGTTTTATAGTGAAATCTAACAGGAGTGTGGATATGAAATTTGGTCACTCTAGAGAGAGACAGGGCGAGAAAAAATTAAATTTTTTTCTTCATTCTTGCTATAATAATGATACGATCCAATTCAGGCTCTGCAGTCTAGAAGATATGGTGATTCTCTACGATTCTGCGTTTTTGGCTTTATCGTATCTTTAAAATTGTGGATGCCACCGATTTTCGTCTTTTTTGGGGGCGGAAGTGGGCGGGGCGAACTTATTAAATATACTTGTAACAGTGACATATCACAGAAGTCTGGATACAAAATTTTGTTGCTCTAGCTTTTATAGTCTTTAAGCACTAGGAGTTCATAGGGACGGACGGATGGACGGACAGCCAGACATGGCTGAATCGACTCGGCTATTGATGCTGATCAAGAATATATACACTTTATGGGGTCGGAAACGATTCCTTCTGGACGTTACAAACATCCACTTTTACCACAAATCTAATATACCGCTATACTAATTTTGAGTATCGGGTATAATGATCAGAGCAGGAGTTCCACAAGGCAGCGTTCTGGTGCCAATCTTGGCCGCTCACAGTATTCAGACATAAAATCATTTCTGAGTGAATGAACGTTTATGTCAGACTTAAAAATTGTCAGAGCTGGAGTTCCACTAGGCAGCATTCTTGGGCCATTTCTGTGCACTATATTCACATGCGACATGCCGTTACCACACGTCAACCCAGGTAACTTGCTGGTCGCCACTTACGTTGATGATACTGCCATTCTCCCAACATCCACCTGCTACGGAGCCGTTGCTGAACAACTCCAAATTTACCTCGAATCCGTGGAAAAATGGTCAACAAAATGGAACATCACACTTCTCCACTTCGTTAAAAGCCTGATATGGGGATATCAGAACTACAGTCATCAAATGCCAAAAAAAAACTTTAAAAGTTGCACTGGCTCATCAACTCAAAAAGTAAGCTTCTCCTACGCAGTAAAGTCTTGTTGTACAAGGCAATGATAATCCCTATATTGACATACGCCTGGAGACGTTCAGCGAAGACGCATCTTAATAAAATCAGAGTCATGCAAGCGAGGGCTCTAAGGGCGATGACAGGTGCCCCGTGGTTTCCACAATGCTGGAAAGAGATCTCCTCATCCCAAAAGTTGGCGATCAAATTAACCATCATAGCAGTCGATACAACGATAACCATCAAAACGAAGCAGCTAGAGATGTACATATACATATAAACCTAACAATGAAACTCTTAAAATATGTAGTAAGCCAATTCAAACATCATTAGCATTAGATAATAGTTTAAGTAATGCTGATTTTTAATAAAAAATAACAAAAAAAGCCTTGGAATTCATCTTTGTGCTGAACAAAACTTCGAACGGTGATAATTTCGTCAACATGTGAATGTGGGAGCTAATTGCTTTTTGCACAGACGGTACATACTTAGATCATTTTGACGGCTCTTCTGCTGAAAACTTTGATATGATCGAAAGGATTAAGCGGTTGACCCTTTCGACTTGACCATTACCTCTTGCAACACCAGTAGTTGACCAGGCATGCTAATGAGGAACTCAGTAAATGTATTGGCCATGAATACAACGCCTCTGTCGCTTATCATGCGCCTCGGGAATCCAAAACGTTGGACCACTCGGTGAGCTTCTTGATTACCTCTTCGCAGCCTGTAGACTTCGTTGGAAACATCCAGACAATCTTTGAAAAGCCATCAACCACCCCACTGCCAAAATAAACTTGTACTGTTTCGACGTCGCATCCATCGGACCCAAGTGATTGATATGCACCGTATGGAGTGGTACATCGCGGTTGTCGATGCAAAGCAAAAGGCCTTCTTGGTTTCCCCATCTTTTTGCTGTGAATTATACAACTTATGCAACTAGCTCTAAAATTATTTTCCTTTCCCTCTAAGTGGGGGGATGTAAGACTGCTGCTGAATATTATGCATCGTTTTTCGTGTTGCAAAGTGACCAGTATTGTGTGCAGTCCTAATCAAATCGCGCTCCATCTGCTTAAGGATGACAAGTACTTCTCGGTTACCAGAAAGGATTTCAACTGCTGGATCGACCTTTTTCTTCTGGTCCTCTAAGAGGAGTTTCGATCACATTGTAAACCATGCAATACTCATCTTCCGACATTTTCTGCTATTCCAGGCCTAGAAAAGAGATCGCATCGGCCATAAGCGTGAACTTCTTTATAAATTCGTAGTCCAATAGTCCATCACATTCCACTGCATTTTTTGGAATCACCAGGAAATTGTGTTTGGTTCGCAGCTGATCTACTTCTATGTCGGCACGAAAAAATCCAATCGGCTTCGTGTTCTGGTTTCTTAGGCCCCGCACATTTTTTTAGATCTCACTGTTACAAGTATATTTTGAAATTTCGTCCCACCTCTTTCCGCCCCCGCAATGGACGAAAATCTGTGGCATCCACAATTTTGAAGATACGAGAAAATTAAAAATGCCTCATCAAAGAGAATGACCATATGCATCAGATTGCCGAATCTGGATCAGGTCACATCATTATTAAAACCAACGAGGGGGAACGTTGTGAGTTGCTGCGGACACCGCAACTCTACGGTTATACCCGATACTAAGTCAGTATGGCTCTCCTCCGGCAGACGCCGCTAATATTTAACGACACGACAAAGAGTGCGTGCGAGAGAGACAGAAAATCAGTCTGAGCGTGACGTCGGGCGCTGCGTAGCCACTGCAAATTGATTTGTTCCTTTTGGCTATAAAAATGATCTGATCTGATCCAGATTCAGCAATCTAATAGATATGGTCATTATCTATGATTCTGCGTTTTTAGTTTTCTCAAATCTGCAATATTGTGGATGTAACAGATTTTCGTCCTTTGTGGGGGCGGATGGGGGTGGGGCGAAATTCTGAGATATACGTTTTATAGTGACATCTTAAAGGAGTGTGTGTACCAAATTTGGTTACTCTAGCCTTAATAGTCTCTGAGATTTGTGGTTGCCTCAGATTTTCGTCCTTTGCGGGGGCGGAAGGGGGTGTGGCGAAATTTGGACAGGAAACGGTCAAGGTCCGATATCACAGGAGTGTGGATACCAAATTTGGTTGCTCTGGCTTTTATAGGTTCTGAGATCCTTGAACTCATATTTTGCAATTGGCAAAACCGACCATGAAACCTGTGTGTTAGAGTGAGACAGAGCGAGAAAGAGTGATATTGTTTTCGTGATTCTGGCTGTAATAATTATACGATCTGGTTCAGATTTTGCACTCTAAAAGATATAGTCATCTTCTACGATTCTGCGTTTTTAGTTTTCTCGTATCGTCGAAATTGTGGATGCCACAGATTTTCGCCCTTTGTGGGGGCGGAAGTGGGCGGGGCAAAGTTTTGAAATATTTTTGGAGCAGTGACATATCACAGAAGTCTGGATCCAAAACATCGTTGCTCTAGCTCTTATAGTCTTTGAGCATTAGGCGCTGAAGGGGACGGACAGACGGACAGACGGACGGACGGACAGACAGACAGGGCTCAATCGACTCGGCTATTGATGCTGATCAAGAATATATATACTTTATGGGGTCGGAAACGATTCCTTCTGGACGTTACACACATCCACTTTCACCACAAATCTAATATACCCCAATACTCATTTTGAGTATCGGGTATAAAAAGAACAAATCAATTTGCAGTGGCTACGCAGCGCCCAACGAAACCTTCTGACTGATTTGCTGTCTCTCTCGCACGCACTCTTTGTCATTCAATGCTAGCGCCGTCTGGCGGAGGAGAGCCATACTGACTAAGTATCGGGTATAAATTTAGGGTTGCGGTCGGAGAAGTAACTCACAACGTTCCCCATCGTTTGTTGACTAGTACTATTAATTAAATTTGAGCAGCCATATTTGGAATGATCCTCGAACTTTATCGGGACTTAAACTTCGGCGCATCAAAGCTCGAAGTTTTGCATTATTTATTTATACCAAATTCTCAAATAGCAAAGCAGAATTATTTAAATTTATTAATTTAATGGATAATATATTTTTAGGTGGTCGAGATAAACTCTGAATTGCTTCAAAGTATGATGTCTTCATTGTTAAACAATGTTCTGGCCGAGGATTGTCGAAATCAGTGGTCCATGTCACGCCCATTGCTGGTACTCATATTACTATACGAGGATTTTTATCGGTAAGAATATTCTTATTTTTTCAGAGCTGTTTACAGTGCTTACGCACTTGTCTATTTTAAACAGCTCATCCAATCGAATTCAAATTCTCAGTGATACAAAACCTCGGCTTCAATATCTCTATAACTATATTCGCTAATTTTTTATAAAGTGTATATCTATCCATAATCATAATTCCAAACATTACTTATTATAATTATATTTTGATATAATAATGAGTTATAGCATTTTATAGCTAGAATTGGCGATTCAGTGCTGAGATAGAAACCCATAAAACGATCAAAATAAGACGTTTTATTGTTTCTGTTTGAGATGCCAAGCTTTTTTGGCACCTATGTGTTTCAAAAATGAAAAGAGATTTTGGGTTAAACTTTATAATTCGTATTTAATCTTGGTGGCTTAGCGGAAGCCGATTGCTTGCTATTGCCAGATAAAATTTATGCGAGATCGATATGCAACCAATGCGCAGAGGGGTTAGCATAGAACTAAACTATAGACGACGGCGTTAGATCAAAGTGATTGCCGAAGTGGCGGCAGCAGATCAAAGTAGTTGCCGAAGTGGCGGCGGCAGAGAGCCCCTTTAGCGGGAGAGCGCAGCAGCTCTGCAGAACGTCAACGTTTTACAACATGCCGCCTATGTCTCATACAATAATAATGTTAAAGTTACGGTTATTCTTCAGCGGCTGGCCCGAACATACTCCCCCCGTTGGGAACTAGTCTCTCAACAGATTCCTTAAGGGGCAGCAAACATAGCCGAGTGACGGCCCTCCTGATGTTTCCTGAGGATGTCTTCAGGTCAGCGACGCGACACACTCCGTCCTTGCCCAAAACGACATCGACCACTCTAGCCAGTGGCCAACGCATTGGAGGAAGATTTTCGTCCTTCACCAGAACGAGGTCGTTCTTGCAGATGTTTTGCGCGGGGGTACGCCACTTCGCGCGCTCTTGCAAAAGAGTGAGATACTCTTCGCGCCAACGGCTCCAAAATATTTGCTGTAGTTGGGTGACCCGCTGCCAGCCATCCACACGATTGTAGTTCAGCTTCGTTAGGTCAGGCTCGAGGATTTGCTCATGGGGGCCGCCTAAAAGCAGATGAGCAGGAGTCAAAACGTCTAAATCATCAGGATTATCTGAAAGCGAGAGCAAAGGGCGAGAGTTAACAATTGCAGTGATCTGACAGATCAGAGTGCGCAGCTCGTCGAAGCTAAGCACAGATGGTCCAACTGAGCGGTACAGGTGATATTTTGCGGTCTTCACGGCCGCTTCCCACAACCCGCCTGATCGCTACTAGCGTGTGTCGCTGTAGCATATTCCAATCGCTCCATTTTCTGGCAGCGTTGCTGCAAGAATTCGAAGAATTCCTCTGCGGTAGGTATAGCATCCGACGATGTGTGCTCCTCCCATTTGGTTTGCGTCTTCGAATCCAACTTCTGCAGCAGCATGTTGATGACCATGAATCCTGAAATCTCCTCAGCAGTTCCCAATGTCTGCAACGCTCGCATGTGTAAATTGACTGCATCCGAAAACTCCCGAAGCCTTTTAGCAGAAGGCGAGTCTACCCTCTTTAGCCCAAGCATCTTCTTGATGTGTGCCTGGAAAACAAGTCTTTTGTTATTAAAGCGTTTATTAAGTATATCCAGAGCCGCACGATAATTGGCACTGGAGAGCTCCAACGATCGAACCGAATCCAAAGCCGCATCAGCGAGGCAAGAGCGAAGGTGCTGGAATTTCTCGATGTCACTGAGATCCGCATCCGCTTCAATCACCGATTTGAACATTGCCATAAAATCCGAGAACTCGACGTATCCACCAGAAAACTTAGGCACCTTCAGCTCAGGAAGTCGCTGCTTGTGAGCCATGATGATGGTACTAGGTCCGGAATGGCTTGGCAGAATCGTAGAATGGGCAGCGGCGTGTGACTGGCTTACTTCAACAGCAGCCAGCAACTCAGCTTTCAACGATATGAAAAGAGTATCGAAGATTTCCCGCAGCTCACTCCCAATCTCGTTTTGATCGAGAGCCTCCAATTCATTATGGGCCTTATTAAATTCCTCTCGAATTTCTGCCAACATATCAAGGCGCACCTTGACTTCCGCGGCGGTCAGCTTATCGATTTTATTCCCCGCGAAGGATTCGCCAAGCCTGTGCAATCGATCATATAATGACTGACTTTTACGATTATACAGACTCAGTCTGGAATCAGCCACCACAATATTTCCGACCGCGCCTGTATTCGGATCGTTGTCCATGTTAACCGTTGTGCAATTCGACACAACAACGGAAAATGAAATACCGCTTAAGCGACGATGTATAGACGCGAGAGCGAGAATGCAAGACACGAAAAGTCAAGAACCGCGGCTGCAGCTGCGCAGAGAATGAGAGATTCGACGCTTAAAGTACCGGAATTTGTCTATAAATATTCCAGCCGCACTCTCACTGAATTTGCACTTTAAACTGTTTTTCAATGTGCACCCAAATGTATTTGTTGGTAGTTAAACTACCCAACAACACAATATTGTATAATTAATAAGTGTTTTAACGGAACGCGATTAAGAAATGGTTTTATATCACGTCGGGGGGTCACCAATGTTTGAGATGCCAAGCTTTTTTGGCACCTATGTGTTTCAAAAATGAAAAGAGATTTTGGGTTAAACTTTATAATTCGTATTTAATCTTGGTGGCTTAGCGGAAGCCGATTGCTTGCTATTGCCAGATAAAATTTATGCGTATAGAAGTCATGTAGCCCCTTTATTTGACCATTTTCAAATTTGTCCAATTGCTTCTCGCAACGGTAAATACTTTGAATTCAAATTGGAAACGAGGGGGTACGTTTTGAGTTGCTGCAGCGACCGAAACTCTACATTTAAACCTGATACTTAGTCAGCATGGCTAACTTTTTATCAGAAAAACAGCTATTTCTAATTTGAAGAAAACGAAAAAAAAATAAAAATCCTGAAAATGTTCAAACAAAATATAAAAAAAAAACAGCGTAAATAACGTTGTCATTAGCTCATCCAGCTCTGTGGGGCTAGCTTCCGATTCGTATTCCTACGAATTGGTAGTAAAAATGATGCGTAGGTAATTATGTGGTGCTACGTAGTCAAAACAGCATTTTCCAAGTCGTCACAAGCCATACCTGTATATTTAAATAAAAACTATTCATTGCCTTTCACTGACAATAAAACTTTACCTTATGCACAGAATGCTATTGGTCCTGCTTAGTTTTTATTGTTGTGGACGTTGACATGCAATGACTGCTTCTTTCAAGAGGCGATGCAATTACTGCACCGTCAAATGGCCCGTGCGACACCAGCAGAAGGCTGTTACGCGAGCATGCAGGAAAGATAGCTGTTAGACTAATATACGAGGAAAATTATCACTAAAGTTTTTAAGAGAACTAGGCATTCATTCAAAATAAAAATACCACTACAATTACTAATTACTAGAAAGGTGTATAAGGATTAGTAATTTAATAAGAGGAAAAGAATTAGTGGTGGATATAATATGGTAGAGAGAATTATAATCCGAGCATAAGACCCTAAACGGTTTATGCAAGGAATAATTCGATCTACAAAGTGCAAGGAACAACGGTATAAAATTTCTAGTAGGTATAATAGGAATCGTGAAGTTTATGCGGCTCAACAGATCAGGGCTGTCTATGTCACCCCTGATCAAGTTGTGCATAAAAATCACACCAAGCATTTTTCTACGGTTAACTAAGGATGGGACGTTTACTAATAGCAGTCTACTAGAGTAAGCCTGATGATATATGTAGTTGTGACTAAATTTACATTTAAACATAAGCGCAACATATCATCCTTTAAAATTCTTCTCCCTGATTCTTTACTATCCAGTTCTCTAGAACCGTGAATATGGCCTGAGCATACAATTATGCATGAGTTCCTTCGCAAAGATTCGAAGTCGAATCCAAGAATTACCGAACCTGCTCCAAAAAACTAATGTTCCTGTACGATTTCAACTAAAGTACAAAATCGTACGATTAGACCTAGACAAATAACTAACCATAAATAGGTTAAGATTTCCCAGCCACCTAAAGAAATAAACGATAATATGCTCTAAATATAAATATGTGACATGCACTACTGACCTAAATAAATATACAACGGACAGCTGCATGCATTTGTGTACATACACTGTTAAGATATTTACGGCACTATCATAAAACACATTCTGGATGACCTGCATGTGGTCAAATCTCACACCATCTGCATGATAACCATTGTGACCGTCATAAATATGACCCTTGGAATATTCCACTGTTGGATTTGTAGTAATTGATTAGTCCTAAATAGAGATAACACATTTCCCTAGCAATATGATACTCAGAGCTAATTAAACATACCTAAGATCCTAAGTAAACAATCATACTCATAGAAATTGTATATAAACCTTGCATTTTACCAAATAAAATCAGTACGAAAGAAAACTCTGACGTATTCACATCTCCGAAGCCCAATTTGTTCAAGTACCGATTGCGGCGACCATTTGTTACTGGTACATGAACCGGTAGCATACATACATAACATTTTCAGCATACGATTGTCATATTGACAATCACCACAGAATCAAGTGAATCTACATCAACAGATTCATTTGATTCGTTCATTTGGTGACCCCCGACTTTTGGACACTTAACCGTTCATCTGGATTTTGTTCCCGATTTGGAACTTGGATTTAGTTGGAAAATCCTACATAATTGGTCAACTTGGCGACCAATTTACATACATACAACAACACTCACAGTTGTGATTTAAAACCTTCGGTGAAGGAAAACGTAATTGGAGTTATTTGGATCTAACTCAACCATCACAGTCAACTAGGCGACTAAGGTTGAATTGGAAATAAGAATTCCAGTGTCATAAATATTTATTGAGATACTTTGACCATCTTCGTGGTTGTGAGTAGAGGCACAACCAGTCATAGTGACAAACAAATTACCTCCATCGGGTCAAAGTATTAAAATAAATAAAATAAAATGGCA